GCGTCACGCGTCGCGTCATGAAAAAGAGAAAGAGACAAGATTATATAAATACACAACCCCTCTCTTTCTCTCCTTCGACGACGCGACGCGTGACGCGCTCAGTGGAAACGTACCTTTAACGCTCGCAACGCTCGCAAGCATCGTTTGTCCTTGTTTAATATTTGATAAACAACAAGGATACAATGATTCCACGAGCGTCGCGGGCGTTAAGTGGAACGCACCCTAAGTAGTGTATCAAAACTATCGGGGTAATCCCGATTGACCACGTTTCGATTGGACACCACCAATCACAGCGACCGGTGCTTAGGAGCTTTGTAGTCTCAAGCGCTGTGAGTGGCTCGTGTCCAATTGAGCCGTGTCCAACTGGGTGCCACCCAAAACTATCAAATGTAGTCGACAATAATGATAGAGAGAGGGACCATGGGAGACGGCCAATCTCCCTCTCATTCTCTCTCCCATTACACCATTGAATGGAAAGAGATAGAAATGGCCGTCTGCCACGGTCCCTCTTTCTCATCCGCATCGACCATTTTGACACACGAATCGCGCAGTCTATTCTCTATGGCCTAGTTTACACCCAGGGTTCGATCCGAGTCGGAATGTAAGAACCAACTGCAGTCGAGTACTCGACTGTAACTCCTGTTACAGTCGAATGACAAGGGAATGCTCGACTGCAGTTGGTTGGTTCTTACATTCCGACTCGAATCGAACCCTGGGTGTAAATGAGGCCTATGTCTTTGACATGAACTTGTATAGCCGCATAAGCCCGGATCCTCATACAGACAACAGCGTTTTAACACCAAACGCTGATTGGTAAAAAACCGATTGTGGAGGCAGCGTTCAGTATCAAAGCTCTGTTGTCCGTATGAGGATCTGGGCTAAACGTATGCGTAAAGAAAATTATCCAATCACATTTCTCCTATAAAGACGCACGTAAAATGCGATTGGATAATTTTCTTTATGCATACGTGTATGCGGCTATGCAAGTTTGTGTGGATATACCCTAAAGCGGGGAGCACAGGCTCTTGCATAATGCATAAGAGCCCAGACACAAGCTTTTACATAACGCATAACGCATAGTGCATAAGCGAATCAACTAATCAGGAGCTTTCCTTTCCTCTCATTCCATGGAATAGAAGAATTTCGATTGGTTGATTCCATTATGCACTATGTATTATGTGTTATGCAAGAGTGTGTGCTGCGGCCATAACACATAATGCATAATGGCTCCTGCACACTGGACGCGGAAACGCTTGCCGCGCGGCAAAATAAAACGCGGTAACCAATGAACACATTACGAGCTGTAAGCTCATTGGCTAACGCATCACATTTTGTCGCGCGGCAAGCGTTTCCGCGTCCAGGGTGCAGAAACCATAAGAAAATGAACCAATTAGAGTTCTCTGTTTCCTTCCTTTCCAAGAAATAAAAAACTCTCAGGACATATCCACACAAACTTCCATAGCCGCATAACGTATGCATAAAGAAAATTATTCAATCACATTTTACGTGCGTTTTTATAGGAGAAATGGGATTGGATAATTTTCTTTATGCATACGTTTATGCGGCTATAGGTTTGTTCTTCTTAATACACGAGAAGTGTAAAGTGTATGCACACCGTACACTTTTACACTCCACTTTTTGGGAGGGGGGAAATGTCGTGTAAAGTGTAGGTTTTCCGGAGACACTGGTAAGTGGTAGTGTCTCGGCGCTAAGCTGCGCGAAGCGACACTGCCGTGCCTCCTTTACGCGAATCAACGAGTTGCGGCAGATCGAGATTATCGGATCTCAATAACGGCTGAACCGATCGCGTTCTATGTATGCTCAATCGATAGCCACCACACGGATTGTATGATAAAAATGCTTTTATTTTTTTTCTACGTGCCCTACGAGCGGAGATATCACGACGCAAAGTTCCGAACTGCTATTTTTCAGATCATCAGATTCAGATACGTCGTTATTAGTCCGGATCTACAATAGGGTTTTAAGCCTTAAACCATAAGAAATGGGCGAATCACAGTCGCTTATTCTTCTCGGATTCGACTGTTAATTGGTCAATTTCTTACGGCTTAAGGCTTAAAACACCTATTGTAAATCCGGGGTTATCGTTATTGTCGTCGTCGATCAGGAGAAAATGTCCATCTCGTTTTTTCGACACTAGAGGGCTTTTGACTTAACCTAGCGATGGCAGCATTGCACATTCGAACGTGATCAACCACTTATAACGGCTGTGATAATCAGCGATGGCAACATTGTCACATATACGATGTGACGTGTTAAATTAAAATAAATTATTTCAAATTAAAATTAATAAATAAATTAAAATAAAATATTAATTATAATTAAAATGAAATATCGAGATTGTCGTTGATGAAGATCTAGGTATTTACCGCGTCGAGGAAGAGGGTGTATAGATATTCAGGATTTAAGCGTCTAGGTGTTCGCCGTCGAGGAATTAAGCGTCTAGATGTTTGACGTCGAGGAAGTGGATGTCTAGGTCGAAGAAATGGGTGTCTAGGTGATCGGCGATCGCCATCGAGGAAGTGAGT